TCTCTCTCTCTCTACTGTAGTATACACAACAGAAGTCTCCATTGCCAAGTGTATTCATTTTCTAGGGCTTCCATAATAAACTACCACAAACCAAGTGGCTTAAAACAACATAAATTTATTCACACACAGTGCTGGAGGCTAGAAGTCTGAGATCAAGGTGTCACCAGGGTTGGTTCCTACTGAAGACTCTTAGGAATATTCTTCTATGCCTCACTCCCAGCTTCTGATATAGGCCATTATAGGTAAACAGCCATGAGGAATTAGCAGCAGTTTCCTGGCTGAATGGTTCATCATATTCTGTGTTTTCTCATGGAATGGAAGATTTTAGTAGAAAACAAGTTTGTAGGCAGATGTTTTAGAAGAAGCTGGCAGAAGTTCCTGATATCAGTATTGTCCACAATCTTTGGCATTCTTTGTCTTAAAGATGTGTCACTCCAATCTCTGCCACCTTCATCACACAGCATACTCCTTGTGTGACTGTGTGTCCAAATTTCCCTCTTCTTATAAGGATACCAGTCAGTGGATTAGGGCCAGCTTGAATCTACTGTGGCCTCAGCTTGTCTTTATTATAACCGTAAAGACCCTAATTCCATATAAGGGTGCAGTCATAAGTCTTGGTGGTTAGGACTTGCATAGATTTTTTTTTTTTTTTCTGCGACACTATTTAGTACACATTAAGGAATGGGAATGCCTGACCAAGGACATTGAAGGTGGTCTGTCATGTGTTTCATTTCTCCTCCTTTGGTCCCTGGCCATCCCTTCCCAGTTTTGTCTTTTATTACTGGCTTATAGCAGTTGTTTCTGTATCCTTTGTATCCTTTGACAGATACAGGCCAATATTTGCACATATTTTTTCTCCCAGTCATGGTTTGCCTGTTTTCCTAATGTTTAACAAACTGAGTTAATCTTTAATTTTGATGAAATTCAATTTATCATTTTTATTTGAATAATAATTGAGTTATCTAAGACAATTTTGCCTAATGCTAAGTTACAAAGTACATCTGTACATTTTAAACCTAGATTTTTTTAGCTCTTATGAAATAAAACTTTAAGAGAGTGAGCTAGTGAGAGATAGCCAGAATGTAAATAGAAAACAATGTAACAGAAAGGAATGTAGCTCTTATGATCCTTTGTACTTGTATGTTATCAGTTGTCATGTCTCCTCTCTTTTTTCTGATTTTGAGTCTTCTCTGTATTTTTCTTACTTATTTTATCTAAAGTTTGGAAATTGTATCATTTCACAAAAATTAATTTTGAGTTTCATTGATCTATTTGCTTTTCTACTCTCTATATCATTTATTTCTGTTCTGATCTTTGTTATTTCCTTCTAAAAGGACAAAATATTAGTGAGAATATAGAAAATATGAACAAGACCTAATGATATACTAATCAACTGTAAAAACCACATTATTTCTAGTGCACATAATACATTTACCATTCTAAATCATAACCTAGATCATAAAATCTTAACAAATTTCAAAAGATTGAACTCATAGAAAAGTATATTTCTGGATACAGTGGAATTAAACTAGAAATCACTTACAGGAATATAGCTTTTTAAAATGCTCAAATATTTAGGAATTAAACAATACACTTATAAATAAACCATGAGTCAAAGAAGTCACAATGACACTTATAAAATAATTTGAATTGGATATGAAAAACATATTTTGAATTGGTGACAAAAGATACACATCCAAACATGTGGTATGCAACTGAAATAGTTCTTAAATACAAATTATAACTTTAAATGATTATATTAGCAAAGAAGGAAGGAAGAAAATCAGTTCTCTAAATGTCAATTAAAAGAAGCTAGAAAAAGAATGGCAAATTAAACCCACGGAAGATCGATACAAGAAAATGATAAAGATAGGAACAGATATAAAGACATGTAATCATAGAGGTTAGTAGAGAAAACACCAAAAAGAAGCTTTTGGAAAAAATTAATAAAATTGACAAATCCTTTGCAAGATTGATTAAGAAAAAGAGACAGGCCAAGCACAGTGGCTCACGCCTGTCATCCCAGCACTCTGGGAGGTTGAGGCAGGCAGATCACCTCAGGTCAGGAGTTTGAGACCAGCCTAGCCAACATGGTGGAACCTTGTCTCCACTAAAAATACAGAAATTAGCTGGGCATGGTGGTGGGCATCTGTAATCTCAGCTACTTGAGAGGCTGAGGCAGGAAAATCTCTTAAACCCGGGAGGCAGAGGTTGCAGTGAGCCAAGATCGTGCCACTGCACTCCAGCCACTCCTGCCTAGTTGACAGAGTGAGACTCCGTCTCAAAAAAAAAAAAAAAAAAAAAAAAAAGAAAAAGAAAAAAGAGATAAAATACAAATAATTATAACAGATACATAGGCACTGCTATAGATCCTACTTATATTGAAAAGAAATATGAAGGTATTTTAACAATTTTATGGCAATACATATATATTCAGAGGAAACTGACACATTCATTGAAAAATATAACTCACTGAAACTGAACAAAAGACAGAAAACATGAATAAGTTTAGATCATGAGAAATTAAATCTGAAATTAAAATCATTTCCCAATAGAAAACACCATTCCAAGATGGCTTCACTGGTGAATTTATCTAACATTAAAGTATAATTTTACACAAGTTATTTTAGATAATGGGAGCATGAGGGCACATCACAGCTCATTTTAATGAGGCTTACATAACCTTGACACCAAAACCTAGCAAGTGCATTAAGAAGGAGAAAAAAAGCCGGTGTCTCTCATGAACATAGGTGCAAATGTGCTAAACAAACTATCAATAATTCCACTCCAATAATATATACACAAGATTAAATGTGATGAAATAGAGTTTATTCTATCAAAGGTTGACTTAATTTGTAAAAATCAATGCATGTTATTTATAATATCACATTATCTCATTAAAAAGCTTATATCTAGTGGCGTGACTGTGTGTATTAAGACCTAAAATATAGTATCCTGATACTTTACTATACACTTTAAAGGTGTTAACTTATTTCATTGTCCCCACAATTTTCATGAAATAGGAATCATTATTTTCTCCCAGCTGCAAATACATGGCTGAAACACAGAGTGTTTAAGTAACTGGCTCCAGATCATGTAGCAATTAAGTGACAGAGCTGTGAATCCAGTTTAGATAGGCCTGACTGGAGCACTTCATTATATTGTCTTTCAGGAGTCTATGCCTGTTCTGGAGGTCTCTGTATTGGGGTTGCTAACCAGTGCAATAAGGTAAGAAAAAAAGTAAAGCAATTGGGAAGAAATAAGTATTGCCATGTTTTCAGCTTACAAGACTATGCACATACAAAATCCAGAAGAATCTACAAATTACTAGAGTTAAGAAATAAACTTATTGAAGTTACTAAACATCGTAAGACTACATACAAAACTTAACTGTATTTCTGTCTACAACAATAGAAAAGAAAAAATATTAAAAACATATTTTTAAAATCCCTAAAACCACCAAAACAAGATATATAAGGTTTTTAAACTAAAAATGACAAAACATATTAATAAAGTTAAATAAATTCTAGTTAAATGAAGAGATACACGATGAACATCGATTAGAGATTCAGTAGTAAGTTGTCAGTTCTGCATAAGTTGATTCATCGAGTCAGTGTGGTCCCAATGGAAACCTCATCAGGCTTTTGCAGAAATTGAGAAGCTGTTTCTAATATTTATATGGAAATCTTGACTTGAAGAAGAACAAAGCTGGACTATAGTTACAATTATAAATGTACAGTAATTAAAACAGGGTACTGTTTGACACAAGCATCAACAAATAGACTAGTAGAATAGACAGCCCAGAAACAGACATACACACATACAGTTACCTAACTTACAAAAATGCACCACCCTAATTCGATGGAGGAAAAATAGTCTTTCCACAAATAGTGCTGTATCAAGTGGATACCTATTCTACCAGGAATAGATAGAATGTTTATTAATAAAACTATTAGAAAAAAAATGGAAAAATATCTTCATGATTTTGGGATGGGCAAAAATTTCTTAAACATGACACAAAAAGCACTAATTTTGGAAGAAAATATGAATAAATAAGACTTTCTCAAAATTAGGAAATTTTGTTCATAAAAATTCAACATTAGGAGCAAGTCAAAAACTAGCAAAATATTTGTAATACACATTAAAAAGGACATATTCAGAATGTAAAAATAACTTAAAAGTCAGTAAGAAAAATATTGGCTAAGTAATTTAAACAAAATACAAAAGACGTGAATGGGTACTTCATAAAAGAAGATACCCAAGTACCCAATCAGCAGATAAAAAAGTGTTCAACCTTATTACATGTTGAGGAAATACAGATTAAAACCATGGAGAAATATCACTTTACATCCACAGTAATAATTAAAATTAAGAAAACTGAAAACATTGACTTTTTACAAGCACATAGAGCATCTAGGACTGCCACACATTGCTGGTAGGAGCATAAATTCATACAATCACTTAGGAAAACCGGCAGTATCTACTGAAACTAAATACATGCTTTCCTCATCCTCTACTAGTTCCACTCCTGGATAGGTAGAGAAATTCATGCACCATGTCCACCAGAAGACAAGTCCAGGATTGTTCGTGGGTTCTCTTCTTCATGGCCAAAAATTGGAAGCCACTTAAATGCCTATTAACAATAGAGTGGATGAACTGAGGAATATTAATATAAGGGAACCCTACATGGCAGTGAAAAGGATGAAACTTCTGTACATATGACATGAATGAATCTCACAGATTTAATTCTGAGTAAATAACACAGACAACATTACACACAGTATGATTCCAACTACACAATGTTTATAAACAGACAAAATTACTGTGCAGTCATGGAGGTCAGAACAGTATTTTCCTAGAAGTTAACACTAGAAGGACTTATAAAGGGGCTTCTAGGAAGTCAAAAACATCCCATATTTTAATCTAGAAAGTGAGTATATAGGTATGTATGTGAGAGAGAATTTGTGAATCTGTTTGCTTGAGATTTGTTACTTATGTTCTTTACATGGTTTAATATCTCATTAAAAAGAAAACAGAGTTCATAAAGTTACAAAATAGATTTTATTAATACATGAAACTTGTTAAAAAGCTATGGTATTAAATTGTGGTGATGTCATTAGGGGAGCCCTCTACCCAAAGAGAAAGGAAGGTTCAACAGAGCACAGGTGTTTGTTGTAAATGGAAAAATAAATCCATCTTATGTTCATATTGCAGCAAGTTAATGCGACTGAAAGTATTGCAGCTTAGTTAAACTAGATAATTAATGTAGGATGCAAAAGATAGGGTCTTATGGTATATCTTAAAAATATATTGTTATATAATTAGCATGACTACTACTGCTGCTACTAACTACTACTACTACTATTATTATTACTTTGTTGGTGCTGTTAGTGATCATTTTTAGTGACTGCCACAAAAGGAACAATACTGGATAAGGGGAAATTGATATAATTTATCTTTTCAAGCAGACTGTGGGCCTGTGGGTTGCAGTAAAAAGACAAGGAGGGCCTGAGTGATGTGACCCTTCAGATAGGGAACTCGCAGAGGGCCAGATGGGAAGAGGAGCAGGGGATGTCATTCCACTTGCCATTTTTCAGTAACAATACACAGTCTTCATTAGAACCAGCATTGTTGGGCTCACCATTGTTCCAGTTTGTGTAGGTCAGTTTATTTCCTGTCAGATCTACAAACTCTCCTTCTGTGTTCTCATCAGTGATGCCCAGGAAGGCTTCCTCCTTGATGAGATTCTGGATGGCTCTGTTCTCTGCAGCATTCCTGGGGGTGGCCACAGAGGCCTGGAACTTGGCACACAGGGCCTTCACTTTGTCAAAGCTCATCATTTCACCATTAGTCAGGAAGAACTTGTTCCCAACTTGTCTGCCCAGAGAGAAGGTCAGCCCTAAAATGTGAAAAAGTGGGTGAAATTGGCTTATCCTTAAGCCCAACTCAAGGTATTTCTCAAGAAAAAGTCTACTAGAGTAGAGTTGCCAGATAAAATATAGTATGTCCAGTTAAACTTGAATTTCAGACAAACAATGAATATTTTAGTATATCTCCTATATAATTTTTCAGACATATTTATACTAAAAATGTTTTTAAGCTGAAATCCAATTTAACTGGTGCTTTGTCTTTTTCTTTGTTAAATATGGCAACCCAAATGTGAACAGACAGACTGGTACAAAGGCCTCTCTGTGCTTTCAGATCAGAATTCTAAAAGATATATAATTTGGACTTCCAAATTATAAATTATTAACTTGAGACCAAACAAAAAATGTCTGAAAATATTTGCCCGAGGCAGGTTAGACCCCATGTCCAGGTCTCAATACCAGCGCAACAAAGGGATATAAGTCCCATTTTCAGTGAGCAATATCAGAGGGTAAAATATTAGGGTCTCTCGAGTTAGACTGACTTCCATGTATAAAGCACCCCTGCCATTTATTAGCTCTGTGCATTTGAGCAAGTAATTTAACTTCCCTTTGCCCCCATTTCTAACAAAATGTTGTGAGAATTCCATGAGGTCAGAATATGAGAAATGCCTATCAGGGTACAGAAAATTATATGCATTCAATAAATATTTGTTGCATTCTATAAATATTTGTAGCATTCTATTTTTCCCAAATTTCAAGCTGCCTGGAGAGTAAGAGAAAAAGCTTACATTTTTTGATACGAGCCATTTCTGTTTGCAGAGCTTTTCTTTCTGAGGCAGCCAGGCTACTCTCACAATCTAGAAAATTAGAACAAAGTAAATAAGCATTGTTGAGAAGGAGCCTCGGAACTGTGCATATACACGAGAGTAGAGTATCTTTTTCAAATTGAAAAAGAAGCTTATTTTACATTGATGTTTACACTTCAAAGGAAAATAAAAACTTAAAAGTCAAAAGAATGAAAAATCTCTATTTTCATCCAACCCCAAACGTCACTCTTTGTCTGTTTACTGTATCCCAAAGTACACGTACATATCACATGCACACATATACTCCCTGATTACCTAGCAATCCATAGGCCAGGTTCTTCACAGATTATTTCTTTCCAAACAAATTGTTCTATCAAAACTAAAAAGAAATCTCTTGAGGCATTACTCTATTATGACCTGGTGAAGAGTGACTAAAAAGATTACAGGGTTTTTGTCTTTGGAGAGGTTTTGCTTTTGTTGTCTTTTATTTTGTTTTTGTTTTTCCCAGGTTTGTTCTATTAGTCAGGAAACCAAGATTTTTGTGAGTTGCCCATTATCCAAGTGGGGAGGGCAAGAGCAAACCACTTGTTGTAGTAGATGGCAAAAATGACCTCAATAGGGTGTAGCTCCTCTCATTTAGACACGAGTCTATTTCAGTACTTGTTGAATCTGGGCTGGCCTTGTGACTTGTGTTGACCAATACAGTCTGGCAGAAATGATAATGTGCTCTGAGTCTTCAAGAAGCCTAAAGCTTTTCTTATTTCTACTCTTGGGAATCCTGTAGTCACTGCTATGTGAAGAAGCCCTGGCTAGCCTGTTGGATGATGAGAGACGTGGTTCAATTACCCTCATCACTCCAGCTAACATTCAAACAACAGCCAGACACATGAGTGAGACTATTGGCCATCAGCTGACCACAGACATATATGAGTGAGCCCAGCTTAAACCAGCAGACAAATCACATGGCTGACCCACAGACTTGTGATTTAAATTGACGGCTATGTTTTTAAGCTATTAAGCTTTGGCTTGGTTTCTTATGAAGTAAAATATGACATACCATGGTTACATGCTTTTGTAAAAATAGACATAATAAGCCCACACTTAGATGGCCTATTTTTTCCCTCTAGGACCAGGGCCTAACATTGAACTATTTCAACTGATGGAGAACCCAGGCTCAGCTCCTACAGGGAGTGCCTGATGAGGGAGTTGTCTTGAAAAGTTTGTAAGTCTGTACTCAGGCACTTATAGGAATTCCCTAAGGCTCTAAGAATGAAAAGAGGGCTGAGGGCACTGGGTCAAAAAGCAAATTTGGGTATCTTCCTTTGAAGGAACAGGAGAAGGGGCGCACCAGGTACTCAAGGTCTCAGAACCCTGGGTGCATTCAGCTCGGACCTTGCTGGAGTCCTTACCTGGACTCTCTCCAGGGTCTCCTTTTTGGCCCTTTGGTCCTGGTGACCCAGAAGACCCTGGATTTCCTGGAGGCCCCAACTTTCCAGGAGGGCCCTGTAAACCTCTGAGCCCTTGGCCTGTTGGAAGAAAAAGGAAATGTGACTTAACATCCATGTTCTTTCTCTTCAAGGGTTGGATGCCCAGTCCCTTCCCAGGAGAAAGAAGACCTTGACCCAGGACTGACCTTTCTGAGCACTGCTCTCAATAACTGTATGATATGCACCTGAGAGCAATAACTTAAGAAATAGAGTTGCCATATGGAGGTTGCTGCAGGGAGGGTGCAAAGTGAAAATTAACTGCATGTTTTTTATAAATAGTTGTGGTTCTCCTGTCCGGCCCACTGCTGCTGGATCTCCCTGTAAATAGATTCCCCCAGTAAAACCTATGTTTGCTGGCTCCAGGTCTCTACTTTGGCCTCTTGAACCTGGTGCCATCCCTATTGAAGTGAATAGGGGTCTGACATGACAATAACTATGACCCAGAGAAGAAAAATTCATCCTGTATCCCATGCGATGGCCTGACCTGTGGGCCACTTTTCTGGGCAGGCAAGACAACTGTTAGTCACAAACTGCTGTGTGGAAGTCTGAGATGCCAGAGAATGAGAGCTGAATCTCTGTTTTGAGTTACAGTATAGTTGAGAAAAATATACTCAAATAGGACATCAGTCTCCTCATATCCCCAGGCAGTTTTCTCTAGAAGGTAAAGAATTGCAGAGACAGAACAGCCCAACCTGTACCTGGTTCCCCCTTTTCTCCCTTGGTGCCATCACGCCCATCTTTGCCTGGGAAGCCGTTGATGCCTGGAGAGTTACAGGCAATCACCGCAGGGCAGATCTTTTGGGAATCCTCACAGGTCACAGTTTCTGAGTAAGATGTTGCCACCACACTCAGGAGAAGGAGAGTGAGTGATGGAAACAGGGACATGGTCCTCCCCTTGGTGTGAGAAAAGTCAGGGAAGATTATCTCAGTTAATCAACATATATGTACTGAACATGCCCTCTGTTCTACAACCTGGGTACAGGCTATATAGAAATAGATGACCCATCCCTGGCCTCTAGTTGGGGATTTGGAAAAGTAAACATCCTTGTGACATTGTGTGACTAGTACTTTAACAAAGGTAGGCACTGTGATGAGCAGTGGGGATCCTAAGGAGGGGTTCTTCTGTGCCTAGGCCCCTGGTGTTGCTGCTGAAAGACTATAAACATACTTTCCATGGCAATGAGAACAGATGGGACTGTGCATTGACACCTCGCTCATGCCTGTTAGCTTAGGGAATGAGAATACGTGGAAACCCAGGTGTCTGTAGGAGCTTCCTCTTTCTCTCCACACCCCCTTTGAGTCCATCTGCCACCTGAATCCTATCTTTGTATCTGGGCAGCTGATTCCTCTCCAGGGCCTGTTAACTATCATTTACTCAGTGGCAGGCCCTAGGCTACAGGTTGGTGATCCAATGAGGAAGGTCTCAACCTCAGATCAACCTCAATCTTAGTCACCAGCCCAACCCAGAATTAACTTGAGTTTGCTTCCCCTAGGTGTTTTAGACAAGTTTGCCTGGGTAAGCATTTTCTCTGAAACTTTCTTACTATGTTGGACCTGGCAGAGTGCTAAATCCCTCTCTACTTTCTGGCAGAAACTCCCCCGTTCTGTGAGTCAAAACCACTGGCAATTAGACAACTTGCCTTGAATCCCCCTCCCATTTCTCAATCTTAACCTTTCATTTGTTCTTCAGAGCTTTCTTCCAGCTATTACCCCACTAAGAATCCTCAGCAGCCAAGCCCCATAGGTCTAGGTCCTCGAGGCTCCCTTTGGAAACAAAGATAGTCTCCACTGCAGATGAACAGATAATTGAGGAAAGTCACAGGTGCTCCAGCAGAAGCAGAAAAAATGACATCCTCAACCTGATTTCTGCCTTTCATCCCACTTCCCCCACACCTAGAAAGACTCCTCCGTACCTCCAGGGCCATGTCAACTCCCCAAATCCTTGATCCGGGAACCCAGATTTATTCACCAGAAATGACGTACTGGTGTTTCTGCAGAGCAGGGACTCAATGACAAGGACGCTGGCCCTCTAGCCTGGGGCTCTGGCAGATGCCTCAGATTGAGGGAGGAGGCTAGGCTCAGCAATGTAGGGCCCAATCAACCTTGTGAACAAGGATAGCCCGGGCCTGGCCTTCAACTCCAGATTAATAAACAACTCTTCTCGGGACTAGGAGAAATTTAGGAGCCTCCAGCACAGTGCTCGGCAGCTGTGTGCTTTAATACAGTAAAATTTCTCTTTCAATTGCCATCCATTTTGGGAAATCTCCTTGCTGAACTACCATAACTAGGTTCACCTGGTTAGTCATGTTGAGTTCCTTGTTTACAACAGGAAAACAAAGATACTCACAAATGCAGACATATGCTCATGCCCACCAACTACACACACAGACACGTGCATGCGTGCACACACCCATCCATGAAAGCATATAGACCTCTTGCTGCCATTAATGCATTAAGGTCATTCCTGCCTCAGACTCTTCACTTGATGTCTCCACGCCTGGACCCCTTACGGGCATTGCCAGCTAGCTCTTTCTCTTCTATTCAAACATTCCAATTTCAGAGAAATAAGTACCTTGATCACTTATTCTAAAATAGTCCTACCTAGCAGTCTCTATCCTCTTAGCCTGAATTATTTTCTCTCATGCTACTTACACTTTATGATATTACAGTCATTGACTTTACTGTTCCATTTTTTTGTTGTGCTAAAATAGACATACCATTTTGACCATTATTATTAAGCATACAACTCAGTAGCATTAAGTACATTCACATTGTTGTGCTATCATCACCACATCATGGGACAATTTTCATCATCCCAAACTGAAACTCTCAACTCATTAAACTAGAATTCTCCATTTACCCCTACCCACAGCCACTGGTAACTTCTGTTTTACTTTCTGTCTCTCTGAATTCATCTATTCTGGGTACTTCATATATGTGAAATCATACAATAGCTCCTTTGTATCTGGCTTATTTCACTTAGAACAATGTCTTCAAGTCTCATCCTTGTAATAAGAATTGTAAACTGTGTTAAAGACTTTGGGTTTCCTTCCAAGTGTCACTAGGGGAACTGCAATAGTGGAGAGATGATCACATTTGAATTTTGCAATGTGAATTTTGCACCTTTCTGGCTATAGTGTTGAGGGGAACAGGACTGGAGAAAAGCAGATCTAAAAGGAAGTGCTTGCCATGATCTAAGTAGCAGAAGACAGTGGCCTGGGTTGGAGTAATGGCAGCTGGATTGTGAAGGTGGGCACATTTGAGAAACAGGAGGTATTGATTGCACTTGAGAATTAACTACAATAGTGAGCGATAATAAGAAGTTTTCATGGGCACACACATTTACGACTTGACTATCTAGGGGCCGCTCAGCTGAGATAAGAAGCAAAAGAACAGCACTTGGTAGTACAAGATCATCAGTATCGTGAGTGTTAACGGCTTGAACCATGTTCCTGTGGTTAATGGGGACAATCTAGAAGGGATGGGAGAATACTTTTATGAAGCATAGTTCACTTGATTCTCAACTACATTTCCAATATAGCTTTCAGAAAAATGCCATGTAGCTTGGGGTGTTGGGGAGCCCATCATGGGAAGTTCAGAGGCTGCGAGGCCATGTGGTGGGGATACTATGGAGGCCTCCAAACACCAGAAGAAATGTGAGTAAGATGCACTGCCAGGTCCCTTCCAATTGAAGTCTTCTTGGCTTGTGGAGGGACTGGCTTCCTTATTTCCTGCTGACCTGTCCCCTGTGCCTGGAAAAATCCAGATGGTACAGAACCACATGCCTAAAGCTGTCAATGGATATCAGGAGATCCAGGGCCTAAAGAACACAGCAGATTACTTGTTTCCCTTCTTATTCTTTAGCAGCCAGAGCTTCCCCTGCTCCTGCTCCAGTAGCAGCAGGTGGGGCGAGGTAGTTGACTCCAGGTCACCGGCAGTGCTGGCTTTAATCACAGTGCTTGCTTTCATTGTTTACCTAGTCCAGAGGTCAGGAAACTGCCCTCCAGACCCTGAAATGTCCTAGAACTGGGTTCAGAGGGTGGGGGGATCTGAGGGAAAGTCAATCTAGCAGTTGAGCCACAGATTGGAGTGTCGCCCAGTTACATCCTGCTCTCCAGAAGGCCTTTCCCAGCAGGAGAGGCCCCTCTCCACATACTGCAGCCTGAATGTCTCTCTCCACACCAATGCCCACTCTGCAGTCCATCCCATACACAAGGCCACTGTGTGCATTTGTTCTGGACTTTAAAACTCTTCCCAACACTGCTCCCACTCTGGCAGCACCACAAGAAATCCACCTCACCCCAAGATGCTGCAGAGACAACTGCCCCTGTGACCTGCAGGAGGACTGCCTGGTGCCCTACATCCCCTTTTTTGTAGACTAGGGTGAAATCCCAGCTCTCCCACTTCCCAACAGTGTGACCTTAGTCAAATTCCACTGCCTTCATGTCCTCAGTTTCCTCATCTGGGAAAGCGGGCACCGCTGCCTTGACTGTAGATTGGTGTATCCTTAACTGGTCCACACTCAGAGTGCATGGCACACGGCTCACCACGACAGCCTGCTTAAGAAAGGCCTTCATTCCCTCCAGGGTGACTGTTCAAGAGTCTTCTCAGTGTGGGAAGCAGCGTTCTTGGGTGGCTTCATGTGGGAGGCATGGTTTGAGATTCGGAACCAGAAGGCTTGGTTTTGACTCATGAATGTGAGCTTAGACCCCATATTCTGGCTGAACCTCAGTTTTATACCTTTCAAATCAGATTTTGAACCCCATTCCCTTTCCCACCGGGATGCTGTGAGTAGGACACTAGGAATGAGAATGTTACTGCTCTCCAAGCGAGGACCATCAGGAATATGCTTATAGTCAGATAAATGGATTTATTATTTTTAGTTCTTTTTGTTTTCCATTTGTTTCAACAGGAATATTGAGCACAATGGTGTACCCTAGGGTTTCTCAGTAACAGGGTGTCGGGAGGGGATTTCTATAAGACTTAGTTTTGTGTTAGGTGGTTTTGGGGGAAGGGTTTAAGAAGGAGGAATCTCTTCTGGATAGGGTGCTGTCCATAAGCTGGGCAATTCTGATTGTGCATCTTTTATTTAGGAGATGAGTAGAACAGAGCAAATTGTCAAAGAGTAGCAAATGTTTATGTTAAGCAGGAGAGGGGCATGTTTTTTGTTTTTGTGGTTCACAGAGAAACCTTTTGTCTGTATGAAGGCATGATTTTGGAATGATTTGGGGTCTTACAACAGAGTAATTTTGTTGTACACCGGTATTCTGTGGAAGTGTTCATGGTCAGCAGGGAATACCATGGTCTGGCCGTGAGAGACAGGCTGTGAGAGACAGCTGACAGCTGTAGGCTGCTTTCTGGTTGTCAGCAATGTCCTTTGTAACTCTAAGGCCTGACCTTTCCATTCTTTTCATCCTGTACTGTCCTGTGTTCCAGTCCCACTGTTTTTCCTTTGCTTGTTTTTGCTCATGAATCCTCTGAGAACGTGTAAATGTCATAGGCCTTCTTTTTAACCAACACAAATACACAGAACCACAGCATCTGGTAAGGACTACCTTAGCCCCCTACAGCCACGGTGTGGGTGGTCCGAGGGTGTCATATCTGCCCATGTGATAGAGACATGCTTATCTGTGACATGGCCTTGAACACAGGGTGGCTGCAGTGAAGGGAAGCTTAGAAGTTAAGATAGCAAAGACCTGCTCTTTTGCCGCAGAAATCAGAACACATGTGGCTCTCAGGGTCTCCTCAGACATTTCTTGCTCCCATTCTTCCTCCTGCCCCTTCACTCCCAGGCCTGGTATATTCCTTCCACCAGTGTCCTCACTCTGGGGCAGCTGCTATCTAAAACAACCCCCAGGAATTTCCTGGTCGGTGACCCTCATTTACAGGTTTCTGGAAGCAGTGACACTTCTT